GAAGTGAAGGGAAATCAAATGGGAGGAAGAAGAGTGGAATAAGCATGGCACTAACCTTGATAATGACAATTTTCCCCCAAATCAGTATTAAAATTAGTATCTTCTGTTTTCTTTATTCTTATGCAGGAAAGTAGGGAAGGTCTAGTGAAATCTAGAAAAAATTCTAGTGATTCATAATGTCTTATGTACATCTGCAGATGATTTAAAAACTCAGGACTCCTCTCAAACTTTCACCTCATTTGTGAAAAATGCATATTTGCAAAATACATCTTCTATGTTTGGATCCAGTTGAAGTTTAACAAAATGAATAGAGGTGGGATTCAGTGCACCAGCAGATACCTAAACACAAGTGTCCCTGCACAGGCTAAGTGCAGGATTCAATTGTCTAAGGATAAGTCAGGGGAATGTCACCACTAGGCACCTAGGCTGGGGAGAGGTGCCCAGCCCCACAGCCAGCTTCAGGAAGATCTGATTTTTCTCAGACTCTCCATCTTGCCAGTCACCCTTTGCTGCCCACGACCATCTCTAGAGCCTATATTCAGGCAACTAGGCATGTCTGCATTCCTCTTACAGCCCATGGAGATCCAAGGCTTTATTCAGTTGCCTACATGTTGGTATCTAAAGCAGTGTGAGAACCCCTAAGGTATCTGAGACGCCTCCCCAAAGCCAGCAGATATGGCACAGGATCTATGGGAACTGATGCCTTTCCAGAAGGGTAGCCAAAGACCAGGAAGGATATCCCACAGCCTCTCAAGTGGCACTTGATGTTCACAGAATTGATTGAGCTCTTGGTGAGTAGATTCAAAGGATATTAATTTCTGGAGATTCATTTAACTGGCCATCAGCTATCTGCTTAAGGTCAGCCTGAGGAGAGCTGCAGTGCTCAGTTCAGCTGTCTTGGCACCCAGTACCACTTGAGAAGCTACAGATCAGTCCATTTTGTCTCCAGTTGCTGCTCCAGAAGGGCACTACAGTCCTGAAGGTTGTGTGCCAGGTTGGCCGGCCGTGTCTGAACGTCTCATCCCCAGAAGTACCTAAAGTATAACTTAAACAAGTACCCCTACCACTCTACTGGGAATTAAAACACCTAGCTCGTATGTAGACACTAACATGTACAAGTCTTCATATTGAACTGAACTGCAGCCCAAAAACTTCATAGGCACTGGAGAAAATCCTGTTATTTTCAGGGTCACACACAGAATTTCTCTTTGAGCCCTGAATCTGTTAATAGATAAATTGAAGGGGTTTTTTTTTAATCAATAAATATGGAAACACAACAAACTCCCAGTGCAGATGTTACATGAAGGTAAGCATGCAAACATTTCCCAAACATGCAAATATTGGTGTGTATCCGTATCGAGCTTTTAGATGTGCTTTCCAAGATTACCCTTCTTAAGTGCTGTTCTAAAATGCTCCCACTGTTTTAGAAAAAAGTTTTCTATTTCTCACCTAAGGCTGAACTAGAAACCATCAAGCTGTTCATATTAATATATGCAAATTTGTGATTTATTATCACTCCCCTCATGTCATCTATTTTCTGTGCCTCAGATGTGCAATTAACTCCACATAGTCAGGCCCATCTGCCAATGTCTACACAGGACACGACTGTACTGTCGTAACAGCAAAAGAACAAATTTCCTGATCACCAATATTGCCTGGCACTTCAGGGAAGCCAGCTGGCTCTTCAGGAGAAATTTCACAGAGGAGCAGCTTGAACTCAAGACAGTTCCTGGTGCAAGCAGTGTGGTTGCAGGCAGACTGAAACCAGAGCAGGGACAAACATAACCTCACATCCAAGCAGTTGGGCTGCCAGGGTGACAACCTACCCTGCTAGCACTGTGGACATACAGGAGCATCACTCCTAACTGAGGTGCTGCAAACAAGTAAAAGCATTCACATTGGCAAGAGCAAAAGATGGCTCCGTATTTGTTTAAAGCTTGCTTTCATTTCTTTAACTTACATAAGGCTTTCTCTCTTTCTCTCCCTTTTCACTAGTTTTGAACATTCTAACCATAAAACCAGACTCAAACTTAGTAGAGAAAAAGATGCCTATGCATCCAGTCTTCATTGACACCTGATATCATATCAATCCTCTTTTCAGATAGACTCAGAAAGCTTGGTTAGCCTACCACTTTGTTGTTCTTGAGTATCAAAAACTACTACTATTTTATAATTATGTTTATATTTGACAGAACTTTGAAATTTCATGCATTTGTAAAAGTTTAGATGCCTCACTTGGAATAACAGTTTATGATGCCTCCTTCTGCCAAATGCAGTAAGTAAATATTTTTTCAATTGTATTAATGCAAACAGTGTATATAATTCTAATGACCCTTTAAAAATACATTAAAACTATTTACCATATTAGAAGGGTTTTAACATTGAGTCAGAGGTGATGTTTCAGTTAGAGGTGGTGCTTTCCCCTCCAGAAAATATATAATAGGAAGATATGAGGTTACATTGCTTATAAGGATTTATTACATTTGCTTGCTTCTTGACAAAATATTCTATATCTATCATCCATTTTCATAAATGCCCAATGAATTTTAAATTACATTTGGGAAATCAATTTCTGGCTGTCTCAATAAAATACAACATTCTAGCTGTAATGTCTGGATGGTGGAAAGGGTCTTATGTTTCCCTAAGGCTCAGGATTTCTCTTAGCAGCCTTGAATGTTTTTAATGGGGACATTATTTAGAAGAATAAATACATGAATCTGAGAAAGGTTAAAGGAAGGTGAAAAATTTAAGCAGAATGTCACTAAAGGCACACATGAAGAGGACAAATATGGTAAGAGCAGCACATAGCAATTCAGTGATTTACTTGTTATGCCAAAGCCACATCCCAACTCCAAATCAATATTTTGCAATGGATATGATACGTGGCAGGAACAGAGATTGAAGTCTGGCCTAACTCAATAAGGGTATGAAGCGTGCTTAGTGAATATCAGCTGAAATGTTGTCCATTAACACAGGGAAACCACATACACACAAGGAAAAAAAAGGCTATCTATTCTGTGTTAAATCAGATACTGCAGAGATAGCAGAGACATGGCAAATCTTGATCATAATTAGAACAGGGTTTTGAAATATAGGCTCTATTTTATGAAAGATAAAGGGGTATTGCTGTGCATTAGAGAAATTATAGACTACCAAAATACAAAATTGACATAAATAAAACCGATTTTTTGAGCGTCATAATCACTTTGGAAATGGCTGCTTAAAGTGGCCATTTAGGGTATTAAGGGAGCTGGTGACAAGGCCTCAGGCTGTGGCTGAGTGAGCAATTGGCTCTGGAGTGGGGTTAAGGATATGCATGGCTGAGAGCCACCATTTCTCATTTGCATTGCTGGCGTTAGCCTTCCTATGAGTTTGAGACCAGGATCAAAGTCTCCCCTGGATGCTTAGGAAAACCAGGATTTGGGATTATTTCTCAGTGCCCTGGATAGTAACACTCTGAGCCTCACCTACACTTCATTCACACAGACCACATGGACGAGATCTCCCATGTGTATGGAAGCATCAGGAGCTTTGGCTCTCCCCCTCTAAAGACTCCCAGGGGCTGAGGAGCTCTGGTGAAAGCAGCTTGGAAAGACAGTTGAAGAGGTCACAGTAGGGATGTGAGCCAATCCAGCCTTGAGAGCAGCTCCAAGACTTAACCAACAGACAGGCATGCACACAGAATTGGATTGAGATCCTGAGTGTGAGAATACTGTAATAGGATTCCAGCAAGAAAAAGTATGGGAGGGTGAGTTTGCCAACTATGACTCAAGAAGAAACTGCTACAGAAAGGACGGACATACTTGACAAAATAGTTATTTGAAAATGGTTAATGTTGTCTTAAGAACACCTAAGAGGAATATGCGAATACATGGAATCACTGTGCATGAACAGTTTTCATAAATATTTTGATTATGAAACAGTATTCCTCGCTTCAAAGGTACAAGTTAGAAACGCACTGGAATCCTGAGAAGCCTGGTGAGCTTACTTTACCTGTATACACTTTTTATGAGCTTCTGAAAGCACCATGATAAAGTGACCCTGCAGAAAAATGGAATCATGTCTCTTGGCTGTGTCCTCCTAACGCCATCTCAGCAGTCTCGTTAGAAACAGAGAGAATGGAAAAGCACTACTGGAGGAGAACTGAGGCAACTGGGGTTTATAGTTTTCAAGTTTTAAACTGAAACACATTTTCTGTGATGACACAATTAGAAACACAGAAACAGATGTGCAAGATTTTGATGCCATCATGAAAACATCCTGATGCATACTGGATCCAGAACAAGAGGGTCTGATCTGAAATGCTCACACTGCATCAAACCACTACTTGTTTATTGTGACTAAGCAGCAGCACACACACCACAACCACGTTCTGCAATCGCCAGTAGCACCGTGCACTGACTTTCTGAGCAGGTTCACAGTAAACCACAGGCCAACCCACTTCAGCGTGGATGTAAAAAGTGATGTTGCCCAGTAGGGAGGGAGTTTACACCAGACTCCTCTTGTCCCAAACACAGCCTACCTGTGCACGGGGCAGAGCAGAAGGCACACACAAGTGTAAATTAATTCAATTTAGTGCTGGCAGAGCTAAAAAGAGCTGGCTGCACTTCAGAAACTTTAGTCCTAAAAGGACCAGCGTAAAGATGCCTCAAATTTACAAAACAGAACATCTGCAGGACATGGGTTTACAAGTTTTTTGCCTGTTTAAGTTTCTGTAATGAAACCTGAGACTGAAAAAGATGGGTAACAGAGGCCTGATAAGAGCTTGGGGTTTTTTCCATGTGAGCTGCTTTGCACAAGTTTTCACAAACAACACGCAGAGAGAGAGATGATGTGAAGGAGTTTCACGGGCTGAGATCCCCGCTACGGTCTGTGTGTGACCGTCACATACAGGCAGTGGCCAGGCCAGAGATGGCTCGTGGCGGCACCTGCGAGCCGGGGGAGCCACTGGGCGAGGCCTGGGGCGCAGCTCTGCTCAGCCCACGCAGCCAGAGCTCGCACCGTGCCCGCGCAAGGACGGCGACACCGACGACAAAGCAGGAGTGAAATGCAGGAAGGACAATGCGGACACCCGCTGCCGGGGGGAAGGGCGAGAACCTGCTCCTTCCCGCCTGGGTACAGACCCACGTCAGGGCCAACAGGTGTCCCGCGGGCCGGGGCAGCAGCAGTCCCCCGGTACCTCGGGAACCGTGTTCCGCCGCCCGCCCGCCCCAGCGCCCCTGCCCGGGGAGCGGCCCCACCGCTCCCCGCCCGGCCCCGCTGGACCGGCCTGGCGGGAGGGGGAGGCCGGGGGAGGTGGGAGGGGACGTGGGAAGGACTCCGATTGCCACTACAAATCTGGTGACAGACCCGCCACGGGCACATGGCGATGGGCAGGTAGGTACGGGGCGGCGGCCCGCGGCGGCCGCGGGGCTGCGGGTGGTGGGTGAGCGCGGGGGTGTTTTTGTGTTTCCCCGGGGGCCCCCCGGACGCTGCGCTCCCCGCCCTCGGCGGCGGGAGGCGGTCGCGAGGAGCCCCGCGCCGGGCGGGGGCCGAGGCGGGCGGGGGCGGCCCCGTGCGGCGCTGACGTCGCCGAGGGGCCGCTCCGAGGCGGCGGTGGCGGCTCGGGGCGCCCAAGATGGCGGCGGCGGCGGCAAGTGACGGGTGCGTGCGGCGGCGACGACGGGCGGGAGCGGGGCGGCTGCGCTGACACCCCTGGGCCGGGCCGCGGGAGCAGGTGCCCCGCGGGGGGGAGCGCGGGACGGCCGCGCCTTTCTCCCAGGGAGGGGCGGTAGCGGTGGCGCGGTGCCTGCGGAGCGGCACCTGAGCAGGAGGCGCTCGTTGCCGCGGGGGCGAACCGGGCGCTGCGTGGGGCCGGGGGAGCGGGCCCCGGGACCGGCCACCCGCGCCGGGCAGCAGCCGTGCTGCCGCCTCGCCGCCGTGTGTGGCAGGGAACCCCTACACGGTGCCCCGTCCCTTCGCTCGTCCCGGAGTGGCCGGGAAGGCGTCGAGGTGAGAGAGAGCGGGGGAACGAGGAGAGGGTGGCGGTGACGAGGGCCCGCCGCCCGAGTCTCCCGCCTGTGGTGGCGAGAGGCGAAGAGTCGCGCCATGTCGCGATACGCTGGGAAGCGCTGGACCTTCTACCCAAACAGCTCGTACCGCGGCATCGAGCCCTGGGCGAGCTTAGCTAGGGTGTCTGTATTTGCAGGGCTGTCAGAATAGGAGCCAGGCGTTCCCCGAGAGCTGTCAGGGCAGTCAGAGATGCTCGTTTTTCTTCTAAACGGGAAGAACTGTCAAGTGTAAATTCAGACCAGTAAGAAACGCCGTGTTTTCCGTGCTTCTGTGAAAAGTGTTTCAATCTGTGTTGTTTGTTTGCCTCGAATTCTCCGCTGCAGGAAATGCGCGGTTATTTGCAGTAGGAGACATCGAATGTAAAGCTGTGCCGCTGTCTGTAGTGTCCTGGTGTAAATGGCCACTTCTAGGCGGCACACTGGATGTACATTCCTTAGCTGGTAAAAAAAAGACAGAGCAAAAAAAGTTAAATGGCGATCTGCATGGCTCCAGAGAAAGGAGGCTGGGGGTTTTCTTGTCAAAGGCTGTCCTCTTAAGAATCGGAAATAACGTACAAAAATTTCTTTTTTAAGTGCTGCTTTGATTTTAACTCTTACTGTTATGTCTGCAGGACTGTACTGCAGCTGGAAGTTATGCACATCAGTGTTTCGTTTAGGTTTTTTCTTCAAGAAAACTTGTTTAAGAAATCAGTAAAGCAGCACATCTGCCTTCTAGTTAGCATACTTATCTAAAACTTTCACTTGTTCAAGTACCCATGATTCCCGTGTTTTCAGATACTAAAAGAGGTAATCTGAACCTGATGAAAATCAGTTGTTAAACTATCATCGGATTTAAAAGCCAGAATATAAAAGAGCGTGCACACACATGCACACGTCTGTGGATATATAATTGTAAAACTATATATTGCATTTCTAATCTAAGGGTTGAGACTTCTCATTTATGTGCCAAGCCATTAATTACAAAAGTAGTGATAAGGGGAAAATACTTCCTTCTGTATATATTTAGAGTTACATTTTTTAAATTTTACAGATGTGAAAATGAATCTTAAAGTCTTAAAGTCTTAAATTATTGTTTACGTGGAACAAAAATGGAAGAAAACCAACAGTTTTACTGACTTCTAAATTGTTTTTATCAGATACTTTTTCAGGCCATGAATTACCCAAAAATGTACGTTTTACCAGCCATTCTTGAGTGAAACAAAAGGAAACATGTCAGTAAGGTTGAAAGGTTCAATAAGAAAAATCCTTCTCCATATATCTTTGTTTCTAGCTTGTGAAAGTTTGGTGCAAGAAGAGCCTTCTGTATGTCTCTGGGTTCCCAGACAACTTAATGGTTTCAATAGTACTGTTCTGTATGTTAGTAGTTGCTATTTTGCTTACTATTTCTGCTCAGGTCTGTAGTAAGAACACAGTGGGGGCTTGATCTCTGAAGTGCTGATCAACTAATTCAAAGTTTCTTTGTGTCTGTGCACAGAACTGAACCTCAGGAGAGAAGAATGCAGAAACTAGGGCTGAATAACTTCCTTTAGGGAATTTTAACTTTGGAGTGTTGGCTTGTACTATTTTATTCCTGCTGCAGCTTTCCAGTAGGTGTGGGAATGAGTATGTAGTATTTTTCACGTTTCTTCCACCATTATCTGTCACTTCACTCCTGTTTTTTCCCTGAGGTATTGTATTTTGCCAAGTCTTGGTTCTAAGGTACAGTTTTTAAATTTTGTGAGTTGATGTACTGTTTCAGTACTTCAGACGTTCATGCTGTCAGTGTGCTGCTTGACATTCATCTGAAGTTTTCTTGATCTCACTTTTGTACCCTTTAAGGTTTTTGCAGTCTTTTTGACCAAACCCTGCAATTTTGGTTTCTTTACATTTTCTTCAGAGAAAGACTCCCATGCCAGGATATTTCCTCCCCCTCCCCCTTCCACCCCTGTCTCCTTTCTCCACACATCGACGTAGGTGGGAAAATGTCATGCTGGCTTGGTTGCTGGTGGGGGAGCTGGGGTTTTAGGTTTTTCTCTTTAAGGCGCTGATCTTGCGCTTTCGTAGAGTCGTGTTGTTTTTGCATGAAGAGATTGATTGTGCAACCCTGGTTTACACAGTGGTCGTCCTGAAATCAGCAGACTACTTTTGTCCTCAGTCCAATATCTGCTTATGCTGAGGCATGTAAATAGTTTCAGTCTTGATAATGTTTTTAAAATTGAGAAGAAAAATAACTTTGACCATATAATATTAAAAAGAAGGAAAAATAAGGCACACTGTTTACACAGTGACTTTAACAAAACTAAAAAGGGTTTGACCTGTCCAACTTCTCTGACTGACAGCATTGCTGTGTGTGACAGCCCTGTGGGAAGACAGAGTTAGTGTTTTTTTCTGGTCTGCTGGAAAGGACCGTTACTAATATGCAGGGGAATCTATTTATCTCAGCCCAAAAACATAAATAGGAGTCTTGTCACTTAAAATTCTGTATACCATATTTAATTATTGCAGCACGCTTTACATAGGTATTACTTCAGTAGTCCAGGAAGAATTAATGTACATAGATACATAGTCCAACTCTGAAATTTATGTGCATTTTATTAGTGTTATAAAAGCTCAGCTTTGTTGGGGAAAATAGGTTGTCAGTCTAGAAGATGTGGGATAGTGCTAATGGTCTTATTTATAAAGACAGTATAAAAAGCAAACTTACTATGCACAACTTTTGTAAAAGAATCTACGTAGTACCTACAAATAGATTGCCTTTTTAAAAGAATGAATATTGAGGATGCTAGCAAGCTGAAAAAGTTAAGCGAGCCACTTTTGTGATTTGTTGACCATAGAACACAAGGCATCTTGACCTCCTGTAATACACTGTGTCTGGTACTTGATCTGGGAGTTGCTGTGTGAGTAGCCAGAGGTCTTGGTGCCCCAAATTCTTTGGTGTAGTGAGTATGGACTGGAGACAACTCTTAGCTAAAATGAATGAGAATGATTAAAAGGGGCATGTAAAATTGTATATACTGTATTAGTTTCACTACAGCTGGTTCAGCCTTTTCTCCATTACAGAATAAGATCTATACAACACATGCAATGTGATTATGCGCTTAGAGAGTTATTACAACTCTTATGCTGGTGTCTGTTTTAGAACATTTTATAAGGCACTAGCTGCGGGCCAGTTGACCAAACAAAGACATTTTTGTTAAATCTTTTAACGCCAGTTTTTGTCTAAGTACCAGATGAAATTTAAAGCTTCTTTCCTAGCCAGCTGCAACCTTTTACCTGTTTCCCGTCCTTAGTGGTGTCGTGTCATTGTGTGTTAGGATTCCCTCTATCTAATGCTTATTTTACACTAAACATCTGTTCTACATTGAGTAACCTCTCCATGTATTTCAGAACTGAAAAAATTGATAAATATTAGCATATTTAAAGATAATAGCTGAAATATAATTTTTTGGGTTCTATCCAGAGTTGTGTAAATCACTTAGTACTTCTGTAGCATGGCTTACTTATCTGTAAAGCATAGAATCCTGGACCTTGATATTGTACAGCCTAGGCCAGGTCTGCAGCATGCATTTGTAATGGCATGACTTGTCTCACTTGGCATACCTGGATATTTGACAAACCCTTGGAACTCCTCAAGTGAATTTACTGTTTCATCTGGCAAGTATTGCACATAATGACAGTGGTGCTGGTGCTATTTGGCCCTTCTAGTCAGTGATGTGGTGGGCACGAATGCCCCAGATCAAATATAATCACTTCCTGACACACCATAGCACCATTATCATTTATCTCTAGATAATATATCTAAACAAGAGATAGTCAAAGAAAGATGGTAAAAATGTAAAGAATGCTTCACTGTCTGTTTAATTTTTGTTAATCAGAGCCAACCTGTTTGTTTTGGGATAATGCACCTTATAGGAGAAAGCAAATACAGCAGCTTTGAACAAACAAATGCAACCATATAAACTTAATAAAGGATGTAAGCCAGTGCTAGTGAGATTTTTAAATGATCTTTTGAAGACATGTATTGGAATGATTGGTTCAAAATGCAGGTTTTTATGAAGTTTGCAGCAACCAAGGTAGATATCTACAATTTCTGTCGTATTAACAAATCGAGTTCTGCTTTTCCAAGTTACTCTTGCAGAGGTGTTAGGATGACACGTTAAAACATACTTGTTTAAGATACAGTATTGTAGAAATGGTATAATGGGCTTGACTGAGCACAGAGGGGCAGTGATTTAATTAAAGGTGTGGTTTAATAAAGGGTTTGAGTTGTATAAAGCCTCATTTATCTGAACTGTTGGCACTGACCTTTGCACTTCTGCACCTGTATGCTTAGGAATAGAATTTTGGAATCATACAATCACAGAATGGTTTGGGTTGGAAGGGACTGTAATCTACTCCAACCCCCTGGCACATGCAGGGACACCTTCCACTAGACCAGGTTGCTCAAAGCCCAGTCCCATCCTGCCCTGAACACTACCAGGGATGGGGCATCCACAGCTTCTCTGGGCGACCGGTCTCACTTTGTGCTTGTATCCAAACTGTGTAACAGTGTCTTTTAACCAAATCAGTGCTCCTTTGAAAAAAAAAACAAAACAAAAAACCCCAGGCCTAAGGTGTAGCTAGTATGCTTCAGTCCTGACTGAGCCAGTAGGTGCTGGGAATATCAACAGTGGTATTCGGACAATTTAGTCCAAATGTTGAACTGCTGCTGATAGTGTTAGGTGTGGCTCCACATAACTGACTGCTTTCATGTGTTTGGTGGGACTTAGTTGGATGATGGTCATGATCTTAACCTCAGGTATGAATTTGGTATACTGACTCCTGTAAAAGGGATACATTTGGGTATTTATGAACTGTAATTTATATATTTTTTTTTTTAGTTGCAGATTGAAATATCATGGACAGAAAACAGTTTGGATGATGTGTTTTGCCAGCATATCTCTGCAGTTTCAGTTTTAACAATGGATAAGTGTAAGCACGTAGGACGTCTGCGACTGGCCCAAGATCACTCCATTCTCAATCCACAGAAATGGCATTGCATGGACTGCAATACTACGGAATCTGTGTGGGCGTGCCTTAGCTGCTCACATGTGGCATGTGGAAGATACATCGAAGAACATGCACTAAAGCACTTTCAGGAGAGCAGGCACCCCGTGGCATTGGAAGTAAATGATCTGTATGTTTTCTGTTATCTCTGCGATGATTACGTTCTCAATGATAACGCAACTGGTGATTTAAAGCTGTTGCGGAGTACGTTAAGTGCAATCAAGAGTCAAAACTATGAATGCACTACTCGGAGCGGGAGGACTTTGCGTTCTATGGGTGCAAGTGATGATTCCTACCTTTCACATGGTGGTGCCCAAGCCACGCTTCGGAATGAAGATCGAATGTTCACAGCTCTCTGGCACCGACGGCGTGCGTTCCTTGGCAAAATATTCAGATCGTGGCTTGAGTTGACACCTACTGGAAAAAGGATTTTGGAAGAAGAAAGACATCGGGAAGAAGCAGAGGAAAAAAAGGACAAAGCTAGGAAGAGAAGACAAGAACGAAAACGTGAGTTGAAAGCAGAGATGGAAAAGATGCCTCCAAGAAAGAGCAGTCGTTTACAAAATCAGATTAGAATGTCTTCAAAAACAGAATCCTGCCCTCAAAAAGCATCACAGAACATGGAATCCGTGGCAGAGTTGAAAGAGACATATACCTCAGATGAATTGAGATTGAAAAAAATAAGTGACTCTCCAATTAAACGAAGGCCCACAGTGACTCCTGGGGTAACAGGACTGAGAAACCTGGGAAATACATGCTATATGAATTCTGTCCTGCAGGTATTAAGTCACTTACTTATTTTTCGAGAGTGCTTTTTAAAGCTTGATCTCAACCAAACTCAGGAACTGCTGGCAACAGCAACCAATGGTAAAACAAGGTCTTCATCTAAACACCCGTCAATAGCTGCCTCAGCATTACATGTGAATGAGAACCAAGAGAAAGTAAAGGGATCGCATTCTGGGAGGCGGCCTAGTTTATCCTCTGGATTAAGTGGAGGAGCATCAAAAAGTATGGAACTCATTCAGCCCAGGGAGCCCAGTTCAAAGCATATTTCTCTCTGTCATGAGCTGCATACTCTGTTCCAGGTTATGTGGTCTGGCAAATGGGCACTGGTGTCTCCTTTTGCCATGCTTCATTCTGTGTGGAGACTAATTCCAGCCTTCAGAGGATATGCCCAACAAGATGCTCAGGAATTTCTCTGTGAACTTTTGGATAAAGTACAGCAGGAACTGGAGACTACAGGGACCAGATACCCAGCTCTTATCCCTGCTTCTCAAAGAAAACTTATAAAACAGGTTTTGAATGTGGTTAACAACATTTTTCATGGACAGCTATTGAGTCAGGTATGCTTTATGATTTTTTTTTTAAGGTGTGTAATGATTTGTGGTTCTGGATTTATACTAGTCAGTCAGTGATGGACATACTTCAAAGGTTCATACATTTATAACTACCGAGGAGGGATGGGGAGGATATAATACGCAGAGTTTCAGAAGAAAAGTGCTATCAATAGAAGACTCATCTGGTAAACATAAATGTTAAATCTGATATTTTAAAACATACCTGTCCAACTACTGAGAAATATTTGTTTTTACTGTTCAGCACCAAATAATTTGAAGGAGTAAAGAATTTACAATTTTAAGTATCTAGTTTATCCTTATAGTGATACTAGATAAAAGGTGTTATGGAAGGTGTAAATCTCATCCTAGTCGAAACTGATTAGGTAATGGATGTCAAACAGGATGTTATTTCAGTAAATAGCTTGAATTTGAGATTCATTACCACTGAGTGATTGCATGTCATGGTTTTATGTACAGAAATACTCATACTTCTTTTCTGTTATAACACAAAGATACAGAAGGCTCTGTCAACACAGGAACCAAATTTGTGGGGTGGAGGCAATGGTGGTTTTCCTTTTTTCTGCATGACTACTCTCTTTTTTTTTTTTTTTGTCTTCTCGGCTCCCTGTTAAGTATTTCAATATGTTTACTTACTATGATGCATATCCCAACTGTGTGTGTGTGTACAGATGTCTGAGAACTGACTGAACAAACAAATGTTTGTTTCTGTTGAATTAATCTAAAAACTAACCACTTTGCATCAGGAACAGAAGTTGGGAAAATCTTGTCTGCCTGGAATTGAACTTTAGTATGCATGCACACGTTACTGAGGGAGTGCAGAGGCATTTGGTGAATATGATGTCTCTTCCTGATATTCTGACTGAGTGATGTTTTAATATGTGAAGCTAGAAATCCAAGTGGGTTTTGACTGAGGTAGGATTGTTTACTGCTACAATACTTGTAAACTTCATAATGAGGTAACAGGGTTGTTTGCAGCAAATGTTTGCTTTTAGTCATCCTAGGTTTTGTGAAACTACTACAAACTAGTATCTAGAAATTAGATCTGCTAATACAACCGGATCATCCTCTACCTTCTATCTGGCCCAGTGTAAGAGCATTTCTGTTGGCATACTGCCTTTCCTTGGGGTAGTTAACATGTCTTGTATCAGTGTCTAGTGTATTATGTCGTTAAAGATTTTTTGTTTGAAAATACCATTTCTCTCCAAAATAGGAAAATTTATTTATTAGTAAAATGAAATAATTGTTTAAGAATACTGGCAAGGTTTGGTTGCATTTCAAGCCTTACAGGATTCATTATTTTGGTAAAAGTTTTCAAGGCTCTAAAGACATAAGCATCATTTCAGTAGTACCACTTCTTTCGCATATTTTTAGCTTTGTTTTGTGAAGAGGCTTGTGACTAGAAAGACTCCCACCTTCCTGAGACCAGGGAGGGGAATAGTGAGAATTACTATTGAGTAAAGTCAAACAAACAAACCCCACAGTACCGAATAAAACTAGAAGGGAATTAAATAGTTTTGAGCTATCCTGTGACTTCTGTGACTACAACACACAGCTCTTAATGCAGCTGGGCAATGTCTGAGTGCAAAATACAGCCTTGATGAACTCGAATGCCTGAAATAAGAGGAATAAGAAAAAGAGTATTGAGACTGTTATCTGTAGTAATTTCTTGCTGTCTTATTAGGCAGTTCCCACAGACTGTCCAAGACTTTACCCCTTCTAATATTCCTTTGTCTTCTGACACTACTTTCTTTCAGTTTAATCTTCACTTGCACTTTTTGAATATTATAAGTTTTGTAAGGAAAATGTTACCCTTGAAGATTTACATTTCTTCCTTGTAAAATATATTCAGGTCATCTTAATGATTCTGTCCCTGGTGTTTGCACAGCAAAGGTTTAAAAACTGTTAGGCAATTATTTTCCTTTCCTTGGTAAGACTCCTGCATCATGATTTCACTATGCATTTGTCAGAACAGCTTTAATGAAGTTAACAAAAAAGGCAAGAAAACATCCATGCAGGGCTGGAAGAAAAAAACAGACTCCTTGCTATGTTATCACATCTTTGTCAAACTTTTAAAAGCAAGGAGCGTACTAATAGTCCCTGTAGGCTTAACTTTACCTACAAGCTGTGGCAGTATTACAGTTTCTCTCTAGAAGATAGTTGGAACCATTGCCTGCTGCATTTATTAAAAATAGGATGCGATTTTAGTCTAGAGTATTTAATAAGTTACATCTTACTTCAATGAAAAAGGGGAATTGAGAAGCACGTTTCTGTGTGGAGTTGCCTTCCGTTTTAGAATCACTAAAAACTTACTATAATTTCCCTTTGTATAGAAAATATCAGTTCAAGATATTTGATTCTATGAGATACTCAAGTGCAGTGAAGTAAATTTTCCTGACCTTCAAACCTCAGGAATACTATGAACTACTCTTGATCCAGTACACAGAGGATCACTTACAGTGCAGATAAGCTGTGTGTTTACCTAGGTTTTGCATTACTTTCACAGGTGCAATAAAACATTTCCCCCCCTTTTCTAGCTATGCTAATTTAAGTTGAAGGGAAGTCATAATCCTGAGTGTGCCATCAATCTGTTGCTATTGAAATGGCTGCCTAGTTCAGCACTAACTGAATTTAGGATATAATATTAAGAAAGGAGAGAAATGAGTGTGTGAGAATCTTATGCAGATTACTTTTTGATAACTAGAAAAAGCTTTGGGTGATGTCAAAACAATCACATTTTATATGGGTGAGTTGTTTTTGTTGTGTTCTCAGCTGATTTAAAGCAAGTCTTCTTCATCTGCTGCTTGAAATATTTTACGGAGCACTAGACGAGGTAATGGGTAACTCCAGGAATAGCATGAGCAGATTGCCTCTGTTTTTTTATTTTGTATTTATTCTAATATTCGTTTTAGGATTTCAGCTTTTTATTCTGCAGTATAGACTGTGAAACTTCAATACCTAGTACATCCAAGGAAAGTAAAGATCAGATATATAGCTACAAAACCCTTCCCCTTCTGTCTTTTCACATGCTAATCTTCATGCAGGGGTTGTCTGGAGAAAGCTGTGCTATTGCATTTAGTGGAAAAAGGAGTTTGTACCTTGTAAACCTGTGTTTCCAGAGGCAAATCTGCTGGAGCAGTGGCTCATACCTCTGAAACCCATTGGGACTGCAAGCAGATGCCAGTACGTCTATTAAAATACTAGTTGTTTTCAGTCTCTCAGTGCTTGTACTCTTATGGAAGGTGCTTCCTGTCTCCTGTCCTCAGTCTCCTTCAATGGGAAAGGAGAAACTACAGCAGTCTGAAGTTATGTGGCAGTGGTGAACTGACCCACACTGGTTCACAGATCTTTATACTTCAAGAGCTCAAGTATCTTAGCTACTGTCTCTCTTAAGACAAGAGTTCTTCTAGGTTGTGTTAGCACAGTTTGCAACAATTTTTAAAGTATCTTTATTTCAAACTTTGTCCATATTAAGCAAGGAAGTGGACAGATGTATTTCTAAAATCTAGAAATTGAAATAGAAGATTTTAGCTTTCAAAATAAATGTATGTTTTCAGCACTGCTTTGGGAAAATTGTGTGCCATGTGTGCTTAGAAATCATATGAGCAGAAATTGTGTGTAGATATACCAGTATTAATTTTTTGTTGGGGAGGCCGGGGGGGATGGCAGGGAAATTGGCTCAAAATATTTGTGTAAGCTGATCTAGACAACCTAGCTGAGCTAGGAAGCTAGCTTAGCAGATCTAGAAAAGTTGCAGATAATCGTGGTGGCAAAATCTGTGACGTAGATACAGCTCTCACCTCTTAAACTTCAGCTTTTTAACTAAATTGTTTTACCTTTGGGATAACATTAAGTACACAGAGTATGATTGCTTGAAAAGTCAGAAGGCCCTTTTGGATTGTAATTAGATTTTAATAGATTATCAGGACGTGGGAAACAGTAAAAGAATAGAAATGTGTTTTTGATACGACTGATTTGGAAGCATTCTTGGAATTGGAGTATAGCACATGTGTCTCAAATTAATTGCCCAATATAACTGTCCCGCAGTTCAACCCGTATAGTACAAAGCTTTCTGGAACTAAGAAGCAGTAGTTACTAAGAAAAAAAATGCTGGATATTTCCTATATCATGCTTCTTGGCCACTATGTTGATAAAATTTCCGTGTTGGTTAAAACCTTAAAACTTCTTCCCAAGGTACAAAATAAGCCTCTTGTCATGAAAGTTAACAGGAAAAAAATTACTTTTCTGTAAGCCAGGCAGTACGATTCTGAATATTATAACCTACTCTTAAATAACGTCAAAATAATAATGCAAATTATTAGTAATATTAATTTTTGTAAAAAAGATGTAAAGGTATATTTGAATCTAAGAATAACAAAATAACTGGCAAAACAATAGTTGGAGATCAAATTATCATTTTATGAAACCTTTCTGTTACCAAACATTGTTTGAATTTCCTTGGTTGCTCAGTTTTCATTCTTTTTATGATTACTTCATGACATTTCACATGTACCTACACACGTAGCTCTGGAAATCTTCCTGTCCAACTCCCCTTAAAACAGGGTGAACTAGAACAGGTTGCTCAGGGCTGTGTGCAGTCAGATTTTCTTTCCATAGCCCCAGGGCTGGAGACACCACAACCTCTTGTGGCAGCCTGTGCCAGTGCTAGAGCATCCTCACAGTAAAAACAGTTTCTTCTTCTGTCTAAAGGGAACCTCCCGTACTTCATTCAGATTGTGCCTGTTTCTTCTTGTCCTCTCAGGGGCACCAGTGAGAAGAGCCTGGCTCAGGCTTCTTTACTTACCCCAGAAGGTCTGTGTGTGTTTATATATGTATACATACATACATATACACACATACTCAAGGATGAAATCCACCTTGAGCTTCCTTCTCCAGGCTGAACACTCCCAGCTCTCTCAGCCTCTCCTCCTTGCATGTCACCTGCTCCAAGCCCTTTCATCATCTTCTTTGCCCCTTGGTGGACTCAGTCCAGCCTGTCTGTGTCGCCCTTTTTTCTAAGCACTGGACCCAGCCCTTCAGCTGTGCCTCACCAGGGCTGAGGAGGGAGGAGGGATCACCTCCCTGGTCCTGCTGGCGATGCTCTGCCTGATGCAGCTCCAGAGGCTGTTGGCCTGCTTTGCCATGGGGCACATCCCTGGCTCACGGACAGCTTGTTCCACAGATCCTTCTCTGGGGAACTGCTTCCAACACAGCTTGGACTGGTGCCTGGGGTGATTCCTGCCTGGGTGTAGGATGGCATTTCCCTTTGTAAAGGGGGAGGTGCCTGTTGTCCCTTTTCCTGGGCCTGTCCTGGTCCCCTTGGGTGGCAGTGCCCCCAGCCAGCCTACCAGCCACTCCTCCCTGCTCTGTGTCACCTGCAAACTTGCTGAGAATTCAAAAGAATTGGCTCCAGTATTTGTTATAGAAATACCTACTAAGAGCTAGCTTTTGATATCTCTAGGCACGCTTAAAAAATTCCGAGGGGTTTGATTACTTCCTTATCATGTTTAAGATGGAATCTGAGCAGAATGCTTCCCCAGCCCCTGCTCAGCACGACAGTGCTCAGCAATGAATATGTCAAGACCCAGGGAGTGAAGTAGGTTCTAACCAATGCAGTATGTAAACTATGTTTAAAGTGTGTTTTCAGGACAGATTGGCTGATGAAAGGGGAAATGTGAAATCTTTAGTTGTTTGAAAGCCTTCAGTTTTGGGTAGCAGAGTTAGAGTTTGGGGGAGAATAGTGCTGAGAATTGTCTCCCACTGAATAGGTGGTTAAAAAGATGAGAACTTCAGGTAGATGACTGGGACTTAAACCAATTGATGACCTGTATACTGATTTCTATATTTTGATATTAGTCTTTGTGCTTTTATGTTTAGCCTGAGACACAAAATGATTGTCAAGTTGCTTTCTAACTAGATGGTGACATTTTAAATTAATCTGTAAGAGGCCATTGAATCACAGACCACAGTTTGCTGTGTTTATGCTTATGTTATTCTGCTAAATAAATAAAGATCATTTTGGTGATGCTATATGCTCATCACTACAAAGTTTAGGGTCTTTTTAAATACAGACTGTCATATGAATTCCATATTATAGCAGTATTCTAGAGATATCCTTCAGTTTCATTTACTTTGCTGTGGAAAAATTGAATTACTAATTATATATTTCTTGTCTAGTGAAAACTTTAGTAGTGAAAACACAAAAATGAGACTATCTATTTCAGTGTTCTTAAAAACTAAAAAAAAATTGTTATGGCAGAGTTGGTAAGTTTTCTTTCCTCCATCCAAGTGCAGGGAACATAGGCAGAACAGGTGATGATGGAGTTGGCTTCTTCTGCAGCAATATGTTAACTCTTTTCTTTGGCTGCATTTAGACTGAATGCCATCCAGGGCAGTGGCTGTCTATCAAGTTATTGTGGCCACAATGATGCTTGTCTGAGTGGTCTCCATGCTTAGCTTGAATCAAGCAATTTGATCCAGCTCTTTTCAGTCTGGCCTTTGGCCCATGATTGAATACTAAGCTTTAACCGAACAATTGTATTTAGTACCCGTGTTTCAAGGCATGAGAGGGTGGTCAGGGCAGAACATAAGGCAGAGATTTAGATAGCTAAACCCAGTAATTTACTTACTTTGCTCTAATGTGAACGTCTCCAGCATTAAGGCTTCCTAAAATAGCAATTATGGATTCTAATGGGGAAGTGAAATCAAACTCTGAATTTATAAAATATAGTCATAAAGATACACATCATGAACCAGATTGCTAGAGCAGACTCACTTCTCTATTACTGTTGTGCGTACTTATACTATAAAAAGTTACATTGGACAGATGCATAAAGTTTTTCCCTTTGAGTTCACATTTGAGGTTCTTTTTGGTGGTTTGGTTTTTTTTTTATAAAAACCTTGGATCTCATTCAAGTTTTTGAACAGATTTTACAATTTCAGTGCCTTTCATGAAAAAAGAAAATCTGGGTTGCACTGTGTGGATGGCGGTGGAGTGTGAGAAAAAGGAGTTCCAGTTTAGGACAGAAAGAAGAGTGATGGGAGTGTTGTGAAGCCAGTGCCAATGCACAGGCCAGTGCAGATGGATTCCACAGAGGGGTAGAGATCCTCCTACTTTTTGAGTAATCCAATTTGTAAGCTCAGGCCTGGCTAAGAAAAATACTACAACCTTTGTCCCAGCCCTGATTTCGCTCTCCTTTCCCACCGAGTGGGAGTGCGCACAGGAGCAGGCAGCGCACAGCCGCTGATGTGGCTGGGTGTGTGCTTACCCGAGTGTGTCAGGTTACTTGGCTCTTGGCAAGTACATAAATCCCAGAGTTTAACTCCGCTGCAGTGTCACAGTGAGGAGGACTGTCTTGGATTTGAGGAAATAAGTGCAGCTGTATATCAGTACCAGATTTTGTCCCCACAAAGGGACTTGGTTCACAGTTGCATGATGAGATGAGAAGCAGCTCTATTGCATCAGTTTATCTTCCTCAATTTTTTTAAGAGGCAAAAACTGGAAGCTGGGTCTATTAATTTCTTTTTTTCTGGGATCATACTTATTAACTAGTTGGGAAAGAGGATCTTAAAATAATCTAGATTATTAACATATTATGTTAAGTTTAAAACCTCAGAACTTGTTAAAATTATCTGTCTTGAGTTCACGTGTGTTCTTCATCCTGAGCCCATTAATCTTAAGTGTGCCTTCATGCGCAACAAATTCTTAAGTAACTCATCAATTAAATAAACTTTTGGCCCGACAAAATTACCCATTTGTGCAGCAGAAATCTATTAGTCATTCTGTGTTTATGCTGGAGTTAGCTTGAACTGAGGCCAAACATATCATTTTGTCTCCAAGTCTAGATTCCAGCCCTAAATTACTAATAATTTGTGGCTTTGAAACGTTGCCAGATGTTAGCACTTACAAAAGAAGCTCCTGTCAGTGTAAATTAAAACAGAAGATTCTCCTCTTTTCTGCTAAGTAAGTTTGAAGTTTTGTTTTCTAAGAACAAGGCAGTGGCATTTTCGTCTTAGAACTTAAAGCAGTGAACTGCTTTCCGAACTCTACTGCTAAACGTCTATGCTGGAACATAAATACACACATGCACTAGCTGGCTAATGCAGAGATCCTGTATAAGCTGTTGTAGCTAATGAATGCATGAAATAATGACTCACAAGAACACCAGGAGGAAGGTACCAGGAGGTGACAGATCGGTCCTTATGTAAATGATCATTAAATAATAAAGCAGAGTGAATAATTACCTAATAGCAAACCTTCAGAGGAAAATAAAGGAGATCTTTAACAAAGCTGCGTGTATTTTCACATTTGTGTGGGGTTACTAACTCAACTGAAGGGAACTACACTGAATTTATGCAGAACAGCAGCAGCATAAAGGGGTTCCTGTGAAATAAGTCTTTGGATGTTCATTCCTTTATTACTATGTATTTGTGTAGTTGTTCCAAACAACTTGTGGTATTTATCTAAATAGGAAGCATGCAACACCTAATATGTTGCTTTTCCAGCTTAGAGGAGCTACTGCTTTTAACTTACTTTCCTAAATATTTAATGTTATCATAAATTAATTGTCTGCTGCTGTATTATCTGCATTTTCCAGGTTGACTCACTTCACTTCTTGACATTTTATTTATGTTGTCTTACTGCTTGTCCTTTCCCTAGTGTGACGATGGATCCACTTACTGAAAGAAGAAATAAATTATTTTTACCTGTTAATTTTTCTTTGAAGAAGTGTGCTTCCTAATCCAGGCTTCCCTGGAAGACTTACAAAGTAAGAAGGATATGACTTTAAAATCCCCAGCTGTTTCTTTTTTTTTGTGTGTGTGTGTGTGTTTTTAATTTATTTTTATTTATTTTTAAATTAACCTCAACTATAATTTCTCATATAAATTTTCCTTTGGAGAAAAGACTCCTGAGACTTCACCAGCTGCTTTCTTTTGGACAGTCCCAGACAGAACATTTTGACACTGTTTTTGTTTCTCAGTAAAACATAAGATTGCTTACTTGTTTGTGGTAACAGTATTGGACGTGCTGCTTCAGAGAAAAGAAATTTCTTTTGTTAAATTTCTGTGTCTTGTCTTTGGTTATGTTGGTTATCTCTAAGGAAAAAAATCTTTTTTTAGAAGTATGTTATGGTACGGTTTTAGTGAAGCAAATATTTGAGTGTAAGCAACTGCTGAAATATCTTTTTACAGGTTACATGTCTTGCCTGTGACAATAAATCAAATACCATAGAACCTTTCTGGGACCTGTCCCTGGAGTTTCCCGAGAGGTACCACTGCAACGGCAAGGAGATGATATCGTCTCAGTATCCATGTCTGCTGACAGAAATGCTGGCCAAGTTTACAGAAACTGAAGCTTTGGAAGGAAAGATATATGCATGTGATCAGTGCAACAGTGAGTAAAGGCAGTATGTACTCATGTGTACATTCTCTGCGTGAAATATAATCTGACAATGGAAGTATAGAGGGAAAGTACTGAAAGTCTTAGTATGTTGCAAAGAAAGACCTTCTTCTTATGTCCTGGTGTGGTCACCTGACAGCTGTTACTCACCACCCAGAAGATTAAATTGTTCACAAGATGTTTTGCAGTGTGATGCTTCTCTTAGATACAGTCTCATCACACACTAATGGGGTTTCTGATACTCCCAGCTGAAGAGCTGAAGAAGCCATCAGCTTTTTAAATTAAAGTGACTAATGTAAGTGACCAAAAGTATTTTTTACTTGCATCATAAAATAATCCTCGTAATATGGCTCTCAGAGTCTGTCCTTTTCAAGGAGACACATACTATAGATATTTAGGTTCAGACAAATTTTGTGGATAAATCTTAGATTTGTATTGTGTAACTGTGTGTTTGACCTCAGCAAAACGAAGGAAGTTTTCTTCTAAACCAGTTATACTCACAGAAGCTCAGAAGCAGCTTATGGTGTGTCGACTACCTCAGGTTCTCAGATTACACCTTAAACGGTTTAGGTAAGTAGTACCACAACAGAAAGTGTTGCAAACTGGCAGATTCACTCCTGCTCTTCCATTGTTCTGGATCAGTGTTTTTCAGCATCAGTTTCATTTCCCTCTGCTAGTATGATGAGAAATAGTTACTAGAAACTTCTTTTTCTTGCTTAATTTAAACATCAGTAAGATATGCTATAAGTAGGAAATTAACTTTTTTGATTCAGCTGCTTGCTGCTTTAGTACCAAAATTATTTCATCCATGTTTTTGGTCAAAACTACTAACCTTGCTGTGAACTCCATTGGTAAAAATTAATCTTGTGATACCTTCAGGTAAAGTAAATGCTCATAGTCATGAATGTACAAACCTGGATTGTATTCAGTGGAAGTCCCAGATGACCTTCATATAACCAAATACATGAATGCATTAGCCTGCAAGTAAGGAAGCAGACACTGCATCTCTCTGAACTCTTAGCCCACACATTTGTACAGTCTGTCCCTAATACAAAGGAAATTGATGACAAGGAGATGGGATAAATGAGAAATACCAATGAGGTATAATAGGTGGGAAGTACTTCCCGCTCACCATACACAGACCTTAAGACGGATGTTTCAGAAGACGAGAATAAGTACCATAGACAGATTTTAAAAGGCCTTGAAATAAGAAGTGAAAGAGGAAGCCTAGAAGAAAACCCTAGCATTTATTTTGTGCACAAAACAATATTAAAAATATGTTATGTTAAAATATAATTCAGAATGCTGTGTTCTTTCTTTGAAAAAAACCGTACGTTTTCATTTAATTTAACTTTCCAGGTGGTCGGGACGCAATCATCGTGAGAAGATTGGCGTACATGTTAGTTTTGACCAAATACTAAACATGGAGCCTTATTGCTGCAGAGAATCCCTCAAGTCTCTCCGGCCTGACTGCTTCATCTACGACTTGTCTGCTGTGGTAATGCATCACGGGAAAGGATTTGGCTCAGGGCACTACACTGCCTACTGCTACAATTCAGAAGGAGGTAGGAATCAGCTGTGAAACAGGGAGTGCGGGAGAAAGGGGTGTTTGTAATTCTAAACTGGCAAGATTACTGTCTTTTCGCAAAAGGAGAGGGGAGTCACTTGTAGCTGAACTGCTTAGAATGAGAATTGCAGTCCTGTAGACCAAGAGTTCAATTTTTTTATTGGCTTGTTAAATGCGTTAAATTTACTATTTGTACACAACTCATTAAATGGGACTGAACAGTAATTAATTATTAAATATAATGCAATTACTTATCAGTGTCCCGATGACCTTTTTTTTGTGTGTATTTCCTTACTGTAGGATTTTGGGTACACTGCAATGATTCCAAACTCAACATGTGCACTATGGAAGAAGTATGCAAGGCTCAAGCCTACATTTTGTTTTACAGTCAACGACTTACTCAGGCAAATGGACATGGTAAAGTACCATGTCCTAGCACAGCTGAAAGTCAGCAGCACACAGAATTAGCTGGCTGTTCCATGGACAACAGTAGCAGCTAATCCAAAGCCAGTTAACTGTGTGTATGGTAAAGGTTTGAATTGTCGTAACTATGTATTTGTAATGAAAGTACAATATTGTACTTTTTCAATGTTTATATACTTTTGTATTAGTTGAAGTACTCTTTACAATGGTTAGTAAAAGGTTTATTGACAGTAAGTAACTTTGTAAGTACCTAGAATTTCAATACAGCTATTTTTTTAAGGAAAAGATTGCTATGTGCATTTAACTTTTACCTCAGGCTATTTTTTTAAGCTGGTTTTGTATTTTGATAATATTTTTGAATTGGTTTAGAAAAGTTACTTTCAATGGACAACTGATATTTCTCTGGTTAATTTTCTGTATATGCTTGTGTACATTTTATAGTATAGTTCTAATGATACCGTGATTCTTACTGTCTTGCAGGAATTGCTACTAGCTCTTAGAATACTGACATTCACCAGCAAGGAATGTTAAACATGTCAGATAGTAACTGAATTTTTGCAGGCAACTTTCTGTGAAATTCTTTTGCAATCTTCAGGGGAGCTACACTAAAGATACATTGATAGAATTTCTTAAAATCTGAAATTGAGGAAATAGAGCATGAACTTATTTTCATGTAAATATGTAAGAGGAGTGTTTAATAACACAAGAATGTATTTTTACCAAGACTTCCATGTTTTAGCCTTAACAAGTCTGACGACTTAAAACTCACGTGCCAAATTTAAAGTACTAACTTTGACAACTAGGGGCTTTTTATTCCAAAAACTAAAAAAGCCTTCTTAAACAAGCAAACAAAAAAACTCGATAACCCCCAAACAACACACCCACACTCACCCCACTGTCATTGCTACAAGAACATTAGCATCCTTTTCTTGAACTGGACAGGCTTACTTAAAGCTGTAGCAAGCGTTGTCTGTCTCAGTCATCTCAACACCAACAACTGATGAAAAGAAGCTGTAATGTTTGCATGAAAGCAATTTCAGTCTGACTGGTTTCATTACTCACAACTGCTGTACCTTCTAC